GCTCTGAATTCGATATATATTTCCACAATATTTTGCACACAGTACCCATCAGACTTTATCTATTTCCACAATGTTGGCACACAGTACCCATCACACTGTATCTATTTCCACCATATTTGCACACAGTAAACATCACATTGTATCTAAAACAGAAACAACAGATACTGTATCTATGCATTGACACACAAAAACCTACCTCCCTTCAGACGGGCCATTCCTTTGTCGAGGTACTTGAGGTCCATGCTTAGTGCCTCCAACTCCCTCAGTTTCAGGAAAATGGCGTCATTTACCTAGGGGGCCCAAGTCACGTTGTGGATTTTCTGGACAAACACAGTACCCCTTTCTTGGATGAATTAGTACCCCTTGTCACTTTACTATTGCCATTAACATGAAACCAGTTGTGATGTCTTCAATAATCCTCAACGTGCGACAGCCATTGTTGCCATTGTACGTATACTTTTAGTCTTGTGTGAGTATAGTTTTACACCGCTTTTAGCAGTATTCCTTACTCTTATCCTTGTGACATTGGTACTGTTTAGAATGGAGAGCCTCATGCGCCCTCGGCCAAGTTAGGTTTGAACCAGGTCCTCCGGGTTCTGCCTGTGCTACAATGTCCTGAAGTGGTACTTGGCGATCATTTTAGATGTTCCTAAACATTTTTTCACAATATCAAAGACACGTTTTACTTGTTATCACTAATGCAAATTAGCAGAAAATGTTTTAAAAGACTGAAATCATAGGAGTGATTATTTTACAGATTTACACGCTCTACAACAGTTGTTTCTTGTTTTAATAGTTGAAAAATGGTGACTTTAAATGGTTTATCTTTGTCTCAAAGCAGAATTTCATTTCAACCTTTCTTTTGGATATCTAAATCACTGTTATTGGGTTATTTCGGCATGGATGAAAATAGGACAATTTAACTCTTTTTTTCGTGATTTCCATAAAGCTGTTTTGTTCAGCTTTCTTGTAAACTAATACCTGCTAACATATCTTTGATAGTTTTAAGGTAATTCATGAAGGTAGGACGGTAACGTTTCTTTTGGCGCTTAGTGTATATATCATATAAATGCATAAACATATTTATGGTGTCCCCCGCCGTGCTATTGCTGGAAAATTGTTAAAGGCGGCGTAAAACTAAAACTCACTCACTTACTCACTGGAGGCTGGTGTAGCTTCGGTCGTCAGGCCAAAGACCGGGGTTAAATTCTATACCTTGGTCCATTTCTGGTGTACCCCGTTGTCATATTGCTTGAGTATTGCTACATGCGGCGTAAAATCCCACTCACTCTGATCCCCAAACACTCTTACCGGGAACGGGAGGGTGGGGTAGCCTCCTGGTTAAGGCGTTCGCTCGTCACGCTGAAGACCCGGGTTCAAGTCCCCATATGGGTACAGTGTGTGAAGCCCATTTATGGTTTTCAGCAGCGTAGAACTAAACTCACTCACTTACCGGCAACCTGTGTGCTCATTGTAGACTCAGCTTCGTACAGTATTTCAGTATATCATTTTTAGCCGGGTTCTAATGTCACGACCTAAAAGTCAAATATCAAATCAAATCAGCGAGGGACCTTTTGTGAGAGAATAGTAAAGAGAGATTGAGATTATGTTCTACTTTCCGAAACAAAGATATGTCCCCAATGGCGAATGCTTCGAGGGTAGGTCTATCGTGACAATATGGGGATTAATACACTGGATAATGTCGGATGAAATTTCGGTGTCAGATGCAAAGCATACAGCCTCGCCGGCTTTACCATCACCCAGAAATTTTCCAGCGATGTGGCTGATTGGTTTCTTGTCTAAAGCCGCACCCAGCAATATTCCAGCGATATGGCGGCGGTTTGTAAATAATCGGGTCTGAACCAGACAATCCAGTGATCAACGTCATGCGCATCGATCTACGCAAATTGGATACGATGACACGTGTCAACCAATTGCAAGTCAGCGAGTCCGACCATCCGATCCCGTTATTCGCCTTTTACGACAAGCATGGGTTGCCGAAGATCAATTCTAACCCGTATCTTCACGGGTCTCCATCCACGTGACAATAATCTATAAATAGTGGCGTATGCACCAGACAATCCAGCGATAAACGAAATGCTGTCCGTACATTGTTTTATTGTTCCCCATCTCTCACCTGCTCAGAAGTTTGATTCCAACGTAAATAACTATACGGTTTTCTTATCTCACTTTCCGGATTTACGGAAATATTTTCCTTGAAGTAATACAGAAAATACTCTTACCCTTGCGCATTCATGAAAAACATCTGATCAGCTGGAAGTACATTCATTAAAAATGTTTCCGAAGAAATGCCACTCAATGTACTCCTTAAATTAATTTAAAAAATATTACAAAGTGATCTAAATTCTGATCATGCGTCAGATAAACCCCCCACAAAAACTTCAGTCACTCGGATTTACTCGGCTAATTCCGCCAGTAAAGTCGCGCCGATTGAATGATAACTCTTCTGTTGAGCCGGATAATGCGTGCAGTCTTAATGAAAAAACATAAACAAAATACAGCAATATTACAATCATATTTTCCGTACGAACGGAACAATCGCATCACTCACAATAAGAAAATAAGTCGTTAATATACATTAGTGAACTGATTCGCAAGATGCTGCTGATAATTTTGAAAGCCCTATGACCTTGACTGTCAGTGTTTTGATTAATCAACTATGAATGATTTAAACACTTGTCAGCAGTAACTAATTAACGATGCTTCGTTGTCCTATGTTCAGTTGATACTGAATGCTTATCTCGGATCCATATACCCTGTTAGTCACCTGCAGGGTGACATCACTGTCATTAACTGGCATTCTTTGAATAATTAATAAATGCGAATATGTTCCGGTTCCCGTTGCACAAATCCGTATTTTTGTGTTTCTCAGCTCCAAAGTCAGACAGAAACAGAGCGGACGGTAAAGTATAATTAAAAATAGGAATTATTTTTCAGTGTGTAAACATTTTAGGAAATTTTAAAATTTAGATCACGGTAAAATGTATGAATGGATAAAGAAATATCAATTGCTTTTTATGAGTGTGCAAAGGTGGGATGTTTGTTTTATCAATTATAGTTGCCGCTGTTACAGGTCATTGGCTTTTTAAAAGCCGTCTGCGTTCTGCTGTTTATTTTGTTGACAGTTACATAGACAGATTCTTTAATACAAATGCATAAAATCGGTGATTTATAATGTGATTAGGTTGTCTGACAAAACATCCAGGTGATTGGGTTATTGGATGAAGAGATATTTACAAAAACGGTCCACATGCATTTCATGCCAAACTATAGGGTATTACTTCCTACAGGTACTCATTGAAGGTGAGACATGCTGGGATGCTTTACCTTTGTGAGACCTGCGTGTAGGCTTAAGGATTATATTTCATGAACAGCCTATTCATATGAATAAAATGTTGTTTTTGACTGTTTCTTGTTTCACATGAAACTTCCATCACGTGAATCGCACCCGTAACATGACATATGGTGTTCAGTACTGTTACCTACTTTTCTCTCAAAGACCCACAGGCGATGTGTGAGTGAGTGAGTCTGAGGTCTGGGATAATTGCCCTAGCTTTATTTGTGATAAACTTGAAATGTTACAACTTGAAGCAGCACGAATTGTAACCGAATTGCCTAAATTCGCTTCAAGATATAGTTTATACAGTGAAACTGGTTGGTTACCATTGAAAGTTAGACGAACACAAAGAAAACTCTGTACATTCTACAAAATTGTTAATATGCAAGCTCCTGATTACCTGATAGATTTACTTCCACCTTTTACTGAAACCATTTCCGGATACAACTTGCGTAACAAATCAGATTTGGCTATTCCTAAATTTTGCACCTCAATTCTCTAAAATTCATTTATTTATGATTCTGCAAGTCCATGGAATGCTCTCTCCTGTTCATCAAAATGTACAAATTCATTATCATCGTTTAAATCAAAGTTATCTGAAAAAAATGACAAAGTTCCAAAATATTTTCTGTTTGGTGAAACAAAGACAAATATACAACACACAAAGTTAAGACATTCGTGTTGTTCATTACATGCAGATATGTTTCGTGTTAATTTATCAGAGAGTAAAGCTTGTAATTGTACTATGTGGTGCTCCGGTGGAAGATGCTAACCATTTCTTTTTTTTAAAATGTCCAAAATTTGTGCATAAATACATTGTACGAAGTAAGCGTTTCGATTAATGAATAATATGTCTTATTATTATTATTATCATTATTATGTCCATTCATTATTGTTCATGTTTCTGATGGGACCGGGCGGTAATAAGTTACATAACTTGTGCCCAATCCCTTTCAACATTGAATAACATATGTTCAAACAAACATACGTAATTTGTGAATTCTGTTCGGACGAAAACGAAATACGCTTGTATGTAAGAAGCGTATTGCTGCCATTGTCTAATATATTTATCATCTACGCAGACAATGCTTACATCTATGTAGAACATTCTTTCTCATCTCCATAGTTTTATACAAATCCATCCATTCATGCATCCATCCATCTCTCATTTCAATGTATGGTGGCATGCTAGTCGTTATTTTCCATTCGGCCTATCAGCGTTACAAAAAGACATTTAAATGGCAACTTACTTTATTTGCAATTCCCGAACTATGTCATTTAACACATATTACCGTACTTACTCTAATAAGCGCCGGTTATCTAAAATGCGCCGAGCCTCTAATAAGCGCCGGGGTAAAGCAGCTCACTGACAATTACGGTAATTATAGGACCCAGTAAGCGCAAAAGCGCCCGGTCTCTAATAAGCGCTGGGTCTAGAACTCCGTTGAAAAAAATAAGCGCCTGGTCGCTTATTAAAGGAAATACGGTATGTTTGAAAGTCGAAGCGGTGAGGTGTCTCCTAAGGGGAAGTGTTCACTTGTCATGGAGGAGGCCGTTTTCATTCTCTTCATGGATACAAGCCCCTACCAAGAAACCAGGTGTGCGTGTTTAGATTATGTGGTAATATTGCTCATAGCATCCTCGATAATCTCCAGGGTATACGTTACGATCACACTCCACTATACCCTGGATGCATCCACGGCTTAGCCCCATTATTATATTACCTTCCTTTGCTTGCTCCGTATTCTCACAGTAGCCAATCAGCTAAGCCGCCGTTACATCCGAGCTTGCCAGTGTCAACAGACAATGATTTTATTACAGTCTCACTTGTGTACATACAGTTGATTGATATATATATATATATAAAATAATACACAAAGGGTAAGAGAACACAAACAATCACTTAGTGACTTATGAGAGACTAAAACTAGTAAATACATAGATATATATAGAAATATCAATATATGTACATATGTAAACGCATATAATGCTGCTAACGGCATAAAAGTAAAACAGTATAATTAGGGATATAAAAGTTGACGTCGTTCCGATAAGATTGCAGGTTCTGGCAGTGTGTAAAACAATATTACAATCACTAAAAAGTACATAAAACTTTAAAACATCATTAAGGTTTGTAAAAACATGATATATCTGGGCACTTTTCCTAAAAAGTTCAACTCTCTCCTCTTCGTATATTGGACATTTGAACACGTGTGAAATTCGCCCTCAATTTCATTGCAGTTGAAACATAGTATTTCTTCTGCTGGTAAGTTCTCATAGCGGCCTGTCTCAATCCTCAGACGGGCGACACCAAAACGAAACTACGCAAACCCGCTTCTGTGTGTTTTTGGTATAGGGGTGTGTAAATATGACTCTGTGCAGAAATCGTGCTTAAAATGCCTGTAGTTTCGCAGCTTGTTTCTTCCGTTCCTTGTTTCTTCATACTGAACGTTTTTCCTCCAGCTGAATTTGTAGTCATTAAAAACTAGTGTTTTGACAGTTCTTACAAGTAACCGGGACTCAATTCGCTGTGCTGTTGTTAAGTGGGCAAGACTATTTCCTCCAGGAACACTTGTATTCTGTGAGGCCAGTTCTTCCTCCTGATGCTATCAGACCATAGAAACATGGTTTTATTTGTTCTTGTCTCTCGCATGTTCCTGAGTCCAGCCCACTGTCTGACTACAGCAGACCATTGTCGTACTATAGGAGGAATCCATCCCGAAGCTCCGTTTACTGCTAAGTTGGGTGTGTATTTACCCACGCCAAGATAGAAGAATGGCTCGATGGTGTACTGCGTTGATGCATGAAAATCAACAAAGATAGCGGTCGTAGTCGTGAAGGTTTGTTCGCAGTGCCACTCAGATTTTTGGGATATAATACAGACAAATTGACAGATCTGAAAAAATATATGAAAGAACTCATTCTACACTCTTTCAAGAGTAAATCTGAACGTGTTGCCAAGTTTAAACGGTTAGATAAAGAAGCGAAAATTAGTTGTGATTGGTTCGCTTAACTTCCCAGCGTAGACACCTGATTGAATAAAAAGTCGGCCAAGGGAGGTAATATAATTATTGGGCCAAGCCGTGGATGCATCCAGGGTATAGTGGAGAGTGATCGTAACGTATACCCTGGGCCTAGGTTTTCGAAGCTCTCTTAGCGCTAACATAGTCGTAAGTTAATGTTAATGTATGGCACTTACGACTATCTTAGCGCTAAGAGAGCTTCGAAAATCTAGGCCCTGGAGATGATCGAGGATGTGCTAATTGTGGCATGAACCCAAACACATTCAGAACAAACCTCTCAACTTGTAGAGTCGCCAGTAAAATCAGATCAGTTTATGCATAAACGCTTGCGCATCATTACAAGGGGGGCTACTCTTGTTTCATGTGTTATCCTCAATGTGAATGAGTAGCGGTAGGGGTGAGGGTTCGAGACCAAACAGGGACGTTCTACCCTGTCTTCGAGATAGGATTGGTTGTTATTTAACGCCACATTCCATCGTCGGGCAGTTAATGAAAAACCTCAGGCTTCTGCAAATGACAATGCCCTGAAAAATAGCGTTAACCTTATAAATAACAAAGGTGTGCGAGAAAGGATGGAGGCGGCACAGCACAGGTTAATGAATCAATAACTTTGTCGGCACTTGTGCACGTGCTTCTCTAACGCCTGGCTGTCCCTTTCTCTGAGTTTTAGGCAAGAATTCTGCAAGCAAATCACAGAGTTGGTCTGATGTTTTGATTATGATCGGCGTTTCATTGAGTATTATATGTTTAGTAGTTTTCAAGTTAGATTGCAATTCATCGGTCCGCTTTTGAGCCAAACGGACTATAATGACTGAAAGAGGCTTACATGAAATTGGAATGCGATTTTTTAATCTGAGATCTATTTGTTCGATAGCAGTTTACTAAAGTTGAACTCAACTCAACGTCAAAAGATTGGTCATTCTCAAAGTGAAGCAGATGTCACTTATACTGCAATGAACAGTATGGGAGTATATAACGAAACATACCACTTAAGTGATAACAACTCCCTGTTGCATAGAGCGGCATTTCGATGTACATCGCCAAGGATAAACTAGCTGATTGGATGTTGAGTGAGTCCATCACCTGGACTGGATTTCGATTTTGTCATACCGAAGTGTATTTACAGATAGAATCTGTCAATCAGCTGTTCAATTACCATCCAGTCAGCCTGTCTACAATTTGTTGTTGGTCTTACTCTCCTGTTGGTCCCATCAAACTGTGTGCAACTTGCTAAATTACCCGTTGTTAATCTGCTGCTGGTCACTATGTATATTAACGCACTCACTCACTCACTCACTCTCTCACTCACTCACTATGCTTATATACTTCCATTCACCTGGTTGTAGTAACTTGATAACGGTGTCGGAATAAACATGGAAACGCCCCTCTATGCATCAACAAGAAATCGGCATCTGTAAAGTCGTACTTTAAGAATGCCGATGAAACAACTATTGGATTACGATTGGCGTTATGTTCTCAATGCAGGTTTTTTTCTAAACAAATATATGTTTTGTCGCGGCTTACACTACACTGACAGAAACATATTATAAATCAATATGTGAAAATATGAACGTGCAGATGTCGCTTCAAACCTTATAAGAATCGCATTGAACAGCCGGCGACTGCAGATTTGAACATTTATTGAATAGCATATGTTATATTTGGGATTACACTTTCTCAGTAAAGTACATTTGACCACTTTCCAAATTGCACTGTGTAATTATAGCTTTCAGCCATGGGAGCCGTGCCAATTTACACTAATCAGAGGGGTACACAAAGTCCACATTCTAGACTACCAGTTGTCCGACTTCCATTTTTGTGGAAGTCGCGGTGGCTGAGCGAAGAAGATAATCTATCTACTCCCGACATGGATTTTGCTTCCCGGCACCGTATCTTTAGCTTTGGTGGTACTCCCCGTCCCCCTTGGAAATTAGCTCTCCCGGGAAATCCGAAATATACATTTTAACCTTCCCGGGACATCTGAAAAATGTAATGTATGTAATCTGTATATATACGAACAGTGACAGGGGAAAACATTTGCGCTTTTGTGGATAACAGTTAAAACATACACTTAAAACGATATTTTGGAAAATGCTAGCCATAGCAGGGGTAAATATAACAGTCAATATCAATGGAATACACAATGCCATTTTAGAAAGTGGTCAAATGTAATATATGTTATATTTGGGATTACACTTTCTTAGTAAAGTACAGATTCTAGTATTTTTGGGGTTGAGTCCCATCCGGGATTCGAACCCGCACCCTCAGAGTCAGGCACCTAATCGCCAGCACACAAAGTCAGACGCCTAGATCGCTCAGCCACCGCGGCTTTTCTAAGAAAGTGTAATCCCAAATATAACCACAGCAAAATAACTTCGTTTCCGGACACCGGAAACCTAACTAAAACAAAATGGAAACTTAAGTTTCAGTTAGGTTTCCGGACCGTTTCTGTACATTTCCTTCAAGTTTCCGGAAAACGGAAACTTACAAATTACCCACAATCCGGTAAGGCTCCAGCGCGTTTCCGTTACCCAGATTCCCGTAGGGCTCCAGTGCGTTTCCGTTACCCAGCTTCCTGTAAGGTTCCAGTGCGTTTCCGTCACCGAGCTTCCTGTAAGGCTCCAGTGCGTTACCGTTACCCAGATTCCCGTAAGTTTCCGGTGAGTTTCAGTTACCCAGATTCCTAAGAGGTGCCATTGGGTTTCTGCTATCCTCTACTTTCAGTTACTCTACTTTCAGTTGGTTTCAGTTATTTACTTAATTCAATTAGGTTTCCCTTTGATTTCCGTTTCTATTAATCACATTAACCATATTCCATAAGTTTCAGTAAATCAGAATCTGTATGGCTCCATTTGGTTTCAATTATTAGTATTCAGTGATTACCAAATGTCCACATTAAATGATGATTGAATAAATTACATGACATAATACATTCAAATACATTTCCACTACAGTTATCGAAACACCACCTGGACATAAAACAAAAATCAGTCAGTCAGTCGATTTCTCTTTATTCATCATAAACAAAATATGCTCAGTAGCACTAACATGTAGGAATACACACACCAAAAAACCCACAACCAATAACACACATATGTACATCACATTGACCTCTTAGTAAGTCATAGTATGTCTATGTTTCAATGTTACATAATACATTGTCACAAATCACAAACTCTCGTCAGTTGATTTATCTATATTCAGAGAGGAATGAATTGCACACTTAAAACACACAAACCACTTGCCCATATGTATATTTATATTTATTATTTATCATTATACAAGGAACAGGTTTAAGTGTATTCAAAACTTAAATGTTTGGATGTGAAGGAATGGTGACTCAGTTGTTGTTTTTCCTAAACAGGGTGAACACAGGGAATAACCAAATGTACATTCTATCCTATCCCTAATTATCAGGGCTCTGGAGCATGCTGAAGCCATTCGTTCATTGTCCAGTAGGTGTGCGGACAAAAAACCCTGTGGACAAAAGCCCCCTAGGTCAAAAAAAGCCAGGACAAAACCCCCTTGGGACAAACAAAAACCACCATGTAGGACAAAACCCTATTACAATTTGGGCACTAACCATCAACACAACCTGATGTTATGTCCCACACCGGTCAGAAAGTCTTCAATGGAGATCTTAGCATCTCTTCGATTGGATTACCTCCATGCTGGAATGCTACTGCCTGCTTAGTTTATGGAGCATATATTTATACCAGTTGTAATATGATAGTGAGTTGAAATACTTAATAATGTATACACATCTAAATACTAAGATAATTAATGAAACCTGTTAATCCCTATCAGGGATAATCTCTTTTACTGATTCAATCAAAATATGTCACTTAAGTCAATCACTCAGTAGTTAAAACATATTTGGGGGTTTTGTCCAGAGGTCCTCATTTGGAGGTTTTGTCTTTATGGGTTTTGTCCTAAGGGTTTTTGTCCCACAATCGTCCCAGTCCCACAAAGTCTTATAGTGTAGCAGCTTCTCGCTTTCCCATGTAAATCCAACAGAGTGGACAAGATAACAGTCCTCTTCGTCGCACACCACAGGCGATGTCAATTCTGGGGTTAGGACTGCAGCCACCTTCTGTTTTCTTTTCTCAGTCCAGTTAATTTTACTATAGTTTGGCATGAAATGCATGTGGACCCGTTTTTTTTGTAAATATCTCTTCATCCAATGACCCAATCGATCTCAAACTGTGCAAGTGGATGTTTTGTCAGACAACCTAATCACATTGTAAATCACCGATTTTATGCATTTGTATTAAAGAATCTGTCTATGTAACTGTCAACAAAATAAACAGCAGAACGCAGACGGCTTGCAGAGGGAGGGAGCCAATGACCTGTAACAGCGGCATATTTGATTTTCTGCGGCTGCTCATTTCGTTGCTAGGCATATCCAACACTATACCGAACATATTTATTATTCAATCATTTATCTGTTATTTTGTAATTCCTATTTTTCTTTTGTTGTCAAATTATTTCAATTATGTATCCAGCTATTGGTTTTATGGGGATTTTTTTTCTTTTTTTGGGTATACATAACATAATAATGTTTCTGAATATACATAACATATATTATGCAAGCTTAATGATGTTTCATTTTTCATATTTTACCATTTTTATTAGACATTTCCTGAAATTGTGTCACTGCCGTTACGAAATTTGTAACATCATTTTGAAAAGAAAAAATCAAAAGATAATATTTATTTCATGTACATATATATTAAAATATCTAGTTTTACAATATAACATGGAGTTTTGAAATTGTATATTTATTGCTTATGAAAAAGACAAAAAAATTCAAATGCCACATCTGTGACATCAGCCACTGGAGTTGTGACACATGAACATTGAGTAAAATTGGGTGGTGTAAAGTAAATATAAAAATATATTTTCCCTAATTTTGTTACTGTAAAGTGTAGAAAAATATTGTGATAAGTTAGTTACCATAATTTTTTTGGTTTGATTTTGACTTAAGTTTGTCGGATACAAACATCTGACATAAATATGCACGGATTTTGAGAATGACTCATATATTGATATAATCTTGCTAATGTTATAATGAAATGAAATAAAACATGAGTCAACGTCATACTTTGTTTTATATATGGTGCCGTTTTAGCCCAGAAATCAGTAGCCGTTTTCGCCAATATGGTGCCGTTTTAGCCAAACAAATTTGGTGCCAAATTTGGTGTGAACAAAAAACGAGTTGATGACAATTTTAATTTTGGTTTGCATTTATGTGTAAAATGGCGGAGGCAATGACATTCGTTACCTTATAAAAGTTAAAACCCAACATATAAATATCATGTCGAGCAATAATAAGACTTGGAGAAAGTTATTTTACCTTAAATAAGTCCGTTTTAGTGGATTTTCAAGGGACTCCACGAACTTTTCCATGATTCTTCTCACAACAGTCTAAAACATAAAGAGACACACTTTTGGATTACGAACATATGTCGATTGGTATTATTTTTTTCTACCTAATTATCATGAACTACTTATTTCATCAATGTTTGTTTCTTTGCTGCATATTACCATTTCAGACAGGTATATTTTAATGGGGAACACGGAAAGCGTAATTGTCTTATGGTTATATCTTAACGGAATGTTCACCTGTTATCAACAATAATGTTGTGTTTTACAGATTTCACACCAAAATGCAATGTCTACATTAATAACCGTGGTGGAAATTGAAATGCGAGCGAACCGTTACTGTAAAATAACGTTGTTATCGGAAACGTTTAATTCGATGCAAACTGACTGCTATGATAAGAAGGAAAAATAATGAATTTCAATTTCATCTGAAACCAACCTGACAAGGACGGGGTACAGCTAATTTCTCTGCCCTTGGTTTCCGTTGAGAACGCTCAAGTTTCCGGATCCTCAGTTCCAAAGCTTCGATTGTGAAATATGTTGCCATGTCTCAAGAAAACTGTATACAGACTGCCATTTCTACTACCTTACTCTCATAGACCTTACTTCAAAACAACAAGTACGAAGTTTTTCCAATCTCGTGCTTGTACGTTTGAACAAAGATGGCGGCATTTCAAACAATGACTTATGGGTGCGCAATTATTTTTTAAATTCTATTGTAAACATGCCAATAGTCTACTTACCCTTCACAGTTTTAGAAAAACACTGATAGCTGCAATATGTGTTTATGTAAATTGTTTGTTTTTACAATGACCATCACATCTCGCGGGGCCTTATTCATTCCTAATCAAGCGCTTCCGGTTACGTGGTCTGGCTGCCAGGTGGACAGCACCTGCTCCATCGACCGGGACGGATACAGGGACCGGG